ATGTCAAGTCACAAAATTCACCACCAATGCTGGACACAATTGTGCTCAATGTAATCTCAAAACTTGCACTCGATGTGGAGGGTGGATTGGTAATCAGGTAGGCTAAAAATTCGTTCTTCTTCTTCATAACTATGGAAAAATATGCTCCTTCCATAAGTTGGGTAACTCAAAGGTACCTGGAAAATTACCCCTAACGAAATGGAAAAAAGGCTTTACGTAGTCATACATTTCCTTTAATGGGTCACTTAATGAAAGTTGCTAGCCTGAAATGTATCGTTGTATCTTCACGCTTTATTGTAGTGAGAAATCTTTAAGGTCTGAGTTGTTGACTGGTGATTGGTATCTGTTTGTTATTTAAAAACACTTTAATGTTTTATATTCGCATACAAATATTGTTAAAGGTATGTTCATTTTAAAATGGCTGAGAAAATCTTAATTATTGGTTAGTCAACTTACTAGAAATAGCGGTTAGAAGCCTGACCATCTACTTCCCACTCCATCGAATACATGGAAGCAAAATTTAACAGTAGTTGATATCAAGTGGAATGGCCATTACTTGCTTAAACTATCAACTAAGACTAATTTAGTAGTGTAATGATAAAAAGTACTTTAAATGCAATGACTATTAGCATTCGATCCTTCCCTAGATTTAGATCAAATGGCAGGCGTTTTGATGGTTATCATTAGCCCTTTGGGAAGGAACATCAAAGTATTTGACTTCAGGGCCGACTTCAGGCTTCACAGAGGGGAAGGAACATCAAATTGATGACTTCAGGCTTCACAGAGGGGAAGGAACATCAAATTGAAAGTCGAGAGAGGGGTGGGAACAGAAGAGTGTTTCAAAGCCTTCAGGCTTCACAGAGGGGAAGGAACATCAAAGTGAAAACAAGTCGAGAGGGGAGGAACAGAAGAGCGTTTCAAAGATGCAAAAGATCGAGAGGGGGGGAACTGAAGAGTGTTTCAAAGACAAAGGTTGAAAATTTGGAAAAAATATGATGTAGTACTGTGGAAGTGGTCGAATATGGCATACAGTGGGGTCATGGTAGTTTGAAGTCAGAAGTCAACTGCCGGTTAATAGACTTTTTTGCCGTATGAGTATACGTTGCCCAGGGTGCACCACGTGGAGGTAAGTCTATCGCTCATCCTGAACTACTTATTATAGATAACGCGGAAGATCTTTATGACAGTTAGTTAAGATTTTCTAAGCTTAATCGTTTGAATTTACGAGAAAGGCATTTGGTAAAGGTCAAGTTGAAAGAAATTAGTGTAACTGAATGAATCCCTATTACCCCTTCCCCCCCCCCCTCCGATAGTCTTCATGGATGTGCAAGAATTGCTTCAGCAATCTCTCCGCGCCCCCACATTCAGGGACTGGTGGGGTGAAGGATGCCCAGAGGTCAACCGCCTCAAGAAGTTTAGCCACCAATGAACTGCCGGCCAAAGTTGACGAGATCCCGTCCCATTCACAACATAATCCTGTCTCATCTGCGACCCCCTCCAGCTCCACTCACTCCCACCCCGCTCCCCCCTCTTCTTCCGCCTTCGGCAACTTAACCAATGTGCCTCCCTCCGTGGAAAGCAGTCAAAGCGGCTATGCGGGCGTAGCCAGCCGAACAAGACTGCGTGAGGCTATGAGAGAGTGAGTATCACCACTCGATTAGTTTTAATTTAGCTCTTGAGATGAAAAGTGTTCCTTTCAGTTGCATTTTTAAAAGTACATTTTATTTAACTAAAAAGCATAAACTAATCCAAAATCACATACTTTATCTGTGCTGACTTTTATCGAATAATTTCCTTATGTCAAATAGTTCTTCAGATATTTTTCCTCTGTGTGCCCTTAAAATACTGACAAAATTGAGGGTCACACAGGTTTCTTTATTGAAGTTTTATTTATTTATATCAAGTGGCAGGCGTCTTGATGGTTATCATTAGTCCTTTAGTTGACTTCAGGCTTCACAGAGGGGAAGGAACATCAAACAGAACAGAAGAGCGTTTCAAATATGTAAGAGACAAACACAAAGGTAGAACAAAGGTGAGGTGAGTACTGTGAAAATATTCGAATATGGCATAGAGTGGGGTGATGGTAGTTTGAAGTGAGAAGTCAACTGCCAGTTAATAGACCTTTTTGCCGTATGAATATACGTTGCCCAGGGTGCACCACGTGGAGGTAAGTCTATCGCACGCCCCCCTTATTTATGTTTGTCTTTATCTGTTATGAAAATCACAGAGAGGCTAAAAAGTATAGGCGATGCATAACTTCACTGATGAGACAAATGATGATTGTTCTACAGCAGAATCGTCACCATTTCAACTGTCGATTCCACTTGAGTCTGTTAAGAACATTCGCTTTTGTGCTCATGATTATAGCTGAATCGCAACGAATTTAACATCTCATTTCAAGAGAATGGTAAGTGACAACTATATTCCCACCAGTTAACAGTTTTGACTTTGCCATTTTCAATAGGAGAAAATTTAAAGCATCTAAACTAGTATACAGCACCCTCTTTACAAACTTTCATAGTAAAATAGTGTTGATTCACTTATCTCTTAGATAAGAAAGACAGCCGAGACGTGGTTAGGTCAATATGTATTTTTAAGTATTGCTACTGCTTTCCTTAACTTAAGCAAAAACGACTGATTACTCAGTGAAGGTTTATTAAAAGAATCGATTAACCATTTCTGACTTCCGTCTTTTTTGTAGCGATTGTCGTCAAGATAAGTTATTATCCTATTTTGAATTTTTCTGATCTTTTATTGTAGTCACAGATCAATTAGTGAAGAGGAGAGAGTATGGTCACAGTTCCATCCAACACCTAGTTCTCATGCTCATCCATCATCACAACAGCATGGTCGTCTGCCCCCTGCAAACTACTATTCCTCTCATCCCCACCACCACACGATGCGTCACCAATCTTACTCCACCACTGGTGTATCAACTACAATGGCTCCGCGGTATTTGCATCAGCATTCTTCCCACTATCCTCCAAGTATTACCTACAACCAACTTCCACCCCCTCCTCCTCAGTACCGACATTCAACTGGACCTCCGTCAGGGAGTCGTGCAAACCGACGAGGTTTCTGCGAAGAAGGCTCGTGGGTGCATCCCTCCTTTCCTCCGCCTCTCATGGTGGAACGTCATGCCTTTCGTCCAACAGATGGTGGAGGTGGGACAAGTGCAACATCCTGTGGATCTGCTGAAGGCTCACCAAGAACGGGTTTCCACACAGCGTATCTACGAAGGAACCCTGGTGGTGGACAAATGGATCCTGGATCGGTTTCAGAACCATGTCAATCGGAGGCGATATTACGTGGTGAGAAAGCCGCCTGATCATAAGATTAAATTATTAAATTCTGATGCAACGATCATTGACTACTCTAGTAATGCTTGGAACAAAGTTCTAGGAGTGAGAAGCTCATCGTTAGTCCAAGCTTTCTTACTTGTTATCTTAATAGCCACATGAAGCTCTATAGATTCAAGGAATAAACGAGTTCGTGTTGATAGGATATTTGAAATTTCACCGACTGTGAGTTTCCAACGCTGAGAATTCTCATGATTACATCACGTAATCTATCACCGATATCAGTTACAATATTTTTCACCACCTTACTTCTCTCTATCCTAGGTGACCGTCACAAGTCCCTTACAGCCGAAGGCAGAATGTATCAGCATAGTTTCGATGTAGATCGTCCAATCTCGGTGAGTGAATAATAGGACGATGGCACATTCTTGTTAGCGCATTATAACTGATGATGATATCAGTACCTTTATTTTTTCTTTAGAGTCGATCGGTATTTTGGTCTCCTTCAGAAGATGGAGAGAGCTTGGTTGGACAAGTATATCTTCGAAAGTCAAGGGCAAGTAGCGAACTCGGACTACTCAGCAGTTTCGGTGAGTTGTGTTCATTTAAACAACTTTGCTTTACTTCATTGTAAGGCTAGCATTGTGAATATTTAAATGGATTTAATTTTTTTTTCAAATTTCCAATTTTCTAAATTATTTATACTCTATTTAATATAATATTTTAGGTCGCTTGTATTTTAGAAAGAATGAACTCAAAATTTTTAATTCAACTTACTGTATCTTTTTTACAATCATTTGAGGAAACAGGAATCATTTAGAGAACTATTAAATTCGTTTAAACAAGTTGAATTCGCAATTCGCCTTAAGTTAAAGTAGATAATGTGTGCCTTTATGGCAAAATTCATTTTATGCCACTACGAGACAGTATTTTATTAAGAAAATGTTCATGGTTAAGAAGAAAATTAGAATTAGTGGATGAGGCAATGTGCACAGTTCGAAAATTTAATCACTAATATCACTACAATAAATTTGGGCTAAATAATTTATTTATTTCAAATGGCAGGCGCTTTGAGAGTTATCATTAGCCCTTCAGCTGACTTCGGGCTTCACAGAGAGGAGAAGGAACATCAAAATAACAGAAAGTAGGGGGGTGGGGAACAGAAGAGTGGTTCACATATTTAAAAGAGAGAGAGGCACAAAGGCTGAGTAAAGGTAAGATATGTACTGTGAAATTGGTATAATCAAAGTGGAAAAAAAGTCGAGAGGGGGGGGGGGGGAAACAGAAGAGTGCTTCAAAGACGAAGGTAGAAAAAAGGTGATGTGAGTACTGCGGAAGTAGTCGAATATGGCATAGAGTGAGGTGATGGTATTTCGAAGTGAGAAGTCAACTGCCAGTCAATAGACTTTTTTGCCGTATGAGTATACATTGCCCAGGGTGCACCACGTGGAGGTAAGTCTATCGCACACCCCCCTTTTCTAACCTTGAGCTCTAATATTTATTTTTGTTTAATTTCTATTCGCTCCTTAAAATAGATGTTCAAAATATACCTATAAATGATTAATGAGATAGTCTTTTAAAAAAATTACTATCACTAACCAGCCTGGATTTCCTCCTAAATGTGTGTCCAATTCCAAAAGGTATTTTAATAAAAATTTTATTTCCAATAATTGGATAATATAATGTAAAGAGGTTATTTTAAGCTTGGTTTTTGTTGTTGAAATTATAGGTCTAAAGTTGGTGATAGGAAAACGGGTGCCCTCAGACATGGTAGGAACTTTCGTGAGTTCAGTGAAGGAGAGGTCCGTTGCTGACTTGATGGGTGAATTACAGACAGGTGATGAGATCCTTGAATGGAATGGGCACAATCTCCGGGGTCTGCACCAAGAGGAGGTCTCTGAAATTCTAGCACTTTCCAGAAACACTGACGAAGTTTGGCTCACAGTACAACGTGTGCTAGAGTAAGTCTTCAGTTTCTAATTTACACAAAAGTATATTTACAGATTAATTAATTCTTCCGCTTCTGAATTATCAGACACTTAAAATAAATCAGAGGTTTTTAGAACATGATCACTTTAATATCCCATGAGCAATTTCGCTTAACTTCAATAATAGATACTTTAAGATTTATTATTTATTTATTTATATCAAATGGCAGGCGTTTTGATAGTTTCATTAGCCCTTTAGGTAACTTCAGGCCTCACAGAGGAGGAGGAACATCAAAGTGAAAAAATTCGAGTGGGGGGGGGGAACAGAAGAGTGATTCAAAGATGTAAAAGAGACAGGCACAAAGGTAGGAAAAAGGTGAGGTGAGTACTGTGAAAGTAGTCGAATTTGTCATACAGTAGGGTGATAGTAGTTTGAAGTGAGAAGTCAACTGCCGATTAATTGACTATTTTGCGGTATGAGTATACGTTGCCCAGGGTGCACCACGTGGAGGTAAGTCTATCGCACACCACAGATACTTTAAGATGGATTCGAGTAGTAGTTGTCATTAGTACAAATTGCGCATCTACCAAATGATAATAAGATCGTTTCCTAGGATTTACGATTTGGAGGTCAAACTGATATAAGACCTCAAGCAGTTTTGGGAAATTAATTCTGTCTAGTCCAGCAAAAATATCAAGATGGCTTCTCAAGAGATTCATATGTAGACAAATTGCGCGCACTTGAAGTATGATGGATTAAGATACTTAATAAAACTGATACCATATTTTATGTGAAAAATTGCTTTGAATTTGTGATTGGCAAAGTTTTTTTAAATGAATATTATATGATTATTAAATAAATGGACTAGTTTTATTATGGGGTTGTTTATTTTTAAAGCGACTTCTATGGAGAATCAGATGGAGCAATTTCAACTTCGTTTTCTAGACACGGTAGTTTTACCTCACTTTCAATTTATAATAAAACAAATAAGTTTTTGTTGTTATAATTTCGTCTTCTTGTAATTATGGATCTAGGTGAAGATGCAAAGTTTCAAGATGAAGAAGAGGAAGAGTATGATGATGCTGTTGATCGAGGAGATGTTGATCCCCATCTACAGGTTTGAATATACCACTTTAAGCATATATTGGCACTTTAATAAATTCTTATCATTATTCTTTTGTTCTCTTTGTTCGTCAATGTCATATTTTAAGGTATTTTTTTGCTTATTCTAGCTCAAACTACGATACGATGAAGGCAAGAAGGACCTGATTGTATCTGTTCTAGCTGCACGTGATTTGCCTCCCCAATTGAATACTCAAACTTGGCTTTGTAATTCCTTCTGTCAAATCACCATTCTGCCTGAAACTAGGTTAGTCTTGCCAATACATTTGGATATGGGGGAGAGAGAGTTGAAGGTAATGCTAAAGCAAAAGAAGTGAAACACGATCAAGTGTCATCATCAATCAAGGAAAAAACCTTCATCCTAATTACTTCGGAAATTCTTACTTGACATTTAAGAGCTATCTCATTCAAAGTAGTGACATACATTTACCGAATATATTAGGCCTGAACACTATACCAGAGGTAGCCAAGCAGTTTTACAGTTGGCTAATTACTTCTATCCGTCCGGATCACATTCAAGTAGTCCACAATGGGAGACTTGTGTACTACGTTTTGAAAACGATCTAGTGTTAAGGCATTCCTACAAAGTGATATATTAGGTTGGCAACTAAGTCATTGTCGATTTCAA